TAAAGGAGATATCACCACCAATCCCACAGAAATACAAACTACCATCAGAGAATACAATAAACACCTCTACACAAAAAAAAAAAAACCTAGAAAATCTAGAAGAAATAGATAAATTCCTGGACACTTACACCCTCCCAAGATTAAATCAAGAAGAAGCTGAATCCCTGAATGGACCAATAACAGCTTCTGAAATTGAGGTAATAATTAATAGCATACCAACCAAAAAAAGTCCAGGACCAGATGAATTCACAGCTGAATTCTACCAGAGGTACAAAGAGGAGCTGGAATCATTCCTTCCAAAACTATTCCAATCAATAGAAAAAGGAGGAATCCTCCCTAACTTATTTTATGAGGCCAATGTCATCCTGATACCAAAGCCCAGCAGAGACACAACAAAAAAAGAGAATTTTAGACCAACATCCCTGATGAACATAGATACAAAAATCCTCAAAAAAATACTGACAAACCTAATCCAGCAGCACATCCAGAAGCTTATCCACCACAATCAAGCTGACTTCATCCCTGGGATGCAAGGCTGGTTCAACATATGCAAATCAATAAAGGTAATCCATCATATAAACAGAACCAAAGACAAAAACCACGTGATTATCTCAATAGATGCAGAAAAGGCCTTCCACAAAATTCAACAGCACTTCATGCTAAAAAGTCTCAATAAACTAGGTACGGATGGGACATATCTCAAAATAATAAGAACTATTTATGACAAATCGACAGGCAATATCATACTGAATGGGCAAAAACTGGAAGCATTCCGTTTGAAAACTGGCACAAGACAGGGATACCCTCTCTCACCACTCCTATTCAACATAGTGGTGGAGCTTCTGACCAGGGCAATAAGGCAGGAGAAAGAAATAAAGGGTATCCAGTTAGAAAAAGAGGAAGTCAAATTATCCCTGTTTGCAGATGACATGATTGTATAATTAGAAACCCCATCGTCTCAGCCCAAAATCTCCTTAAGCTGATAAGCAACTTCAGCAAAGTCTCAGGATACAAAATCAATGTGCAAAAATCACAAACATTACTATGCACCAATAACAGACAAACAGAGAGCAAAATCATGAGTGAATTCCCATGCACAATTGCTTCAAAGAAAATAAAATACCTGGGAATCCAACTAACAAGGAATGGGAAGGACTTCTTCAAGGAGAACAGCAAACCACCGCTCAATGAAATAAAAGAGGACACAAACACATGGAAGAACATTCCATGCTCATGTATAGGAAGAATCAATATTGTGAAAATGGCTACACTTCCCAAGGTAATTTATAGATTCAATGCCATCCCCATCAAGCTATCAATGACTTTCTTTACAGAATTGGAAAAAACTACTTTAAAGTTCATATGGAACAGAAAAGAGCCTGCATTGCCAAGACAATCCTAAGCCAAAAGAATAAAACTGGAGGAATCACGCTACCTGACTTCAAGCTATACTACAAGGCTGCAGTAACCAAAACAGCGTGGTACTGGTACCAAAACAGAGATATAGACTAATGGAACAGAATAGAGCTCTCAGATATAATACCATACATCTACAACCATCTGATCTTTAACAAACCTGACAGAAACAAGAAATGGGGAAAGGATTTCCTGTTTAATAAATGGTTCTGGGAAAACTGGCCAGCCATATGGCAAAAGCTGAAATTGGATCCCTTCCTTACATCTTATACAAACATTAATTCAAGATGAATTAAAGACTTAAATGTTAGACCGAAAACCTTAAAAACCCTAGAAGAAAACCTAGGCAATACCATTCAGGACATAGGCATGGGCAAGGACTTCATGACTAAAACACCAAAAGCAATGGCATCAAAAGTCAAAATTGACAAATGGGATCTAAGTAAACTAAAAAGCTTCTGCACAGCAAAAGAAACTACCATCAGAGTGAACAGGCAACCTACAGAATGGGAGAAAATTTTTACAATCTACCCATCTGACAAAGGGCTTTTATCCAGAATACACAAAGAACTTAAACAAATTTACAAGAAAAAAATCAAACAACCCCATCAAAAACTGGGCAAAGGATATGAACAGACACTTCTCAAAAGAAGACATTTATAGACATTTATGCAGCCAACACACACATGAAAAAATGCTCACCATCACTGGTCATCAGAGAAATGAAAATCAAAATCACAATGCCACAAATACTACAAAACCAGAAATACCATCTCACACCAGTTAGAATGGCGATCATTAAAAAGTCAGGAAACAACAGGTGATGGAGAGGATGTGGAGAAATAGGAACGCTTTTACACAGTTGGTGGGACTGTAAACTAGTTCAACCATTGTGGAAGACAGTGTGGTTAGAACTAGAAATACCATTTGACCCAGCCATCCCATTACTGGATATATACCCAAAGGATTATAAATCATGCTGCTATAAAGACATATGCACACGTATGTTTATTGTGGCACTGTTCACAATAGCAAAGACTTGGAACCAACCCAAATGTCCATCAATGATAGACTGGATTAAGAAAATGTGGCACATATACACCATGGAATACTATGCAGCCATAAAAAAGGATGAGTTCATGTCCTTTGTAGGGACATGGATGAAGCTGGAATCCATCATTCTGAGCAAACTATTGCAAGGACAGAAAACCAAACACTGCATGTTCTCACTCATAGGTGGGAACAGAATGGTCAGAACACTTGGACACAGTGTGGGGAACATCACACACCAGGGCCTGTCGTGGGGTGTGGGGAGGGGGAAGGGATGGCATTACGAGATATACCTAATGTAAATGACGAGTTGATGGGTGTAGCACACCAACATGGCACATGTATACATATGTAACAAACCTGCACATTGTGTGCATGTACCATAGAACTTAAAGTATAATTTAAAAAAAAAAAAAAAAGAAGATGTAAGGAAGGGATCCAGTTTCTGTCTTCTGCATATGGCTAGCCAGTTTTTCCAACACCATTTATTAAATAGGGAATCTTTTCCCCGTTGCTTGTTTTTGTCAGGTTTGTTGAAGATCAGATGGTTGTAGATGTGTGACTTTATTTCTGAGGCCTCTGTTCTGTTCCATTGGTCTATATATCTGTTTTGGTATCAGTACCATGCTCTTTTGGTTACTGTAGCCTTGTAGTATAGTTTGAAGTCAGGTAGTGTGATTCCTCCAGCTTTGTTCCTTTTGCTTAGGATTGTCTTGGCTTTACAAGCTCTTTTTTGGTTCCGCATGAAATTTAAAGTAGTTTTTTCTAGTTCTGTGAAGAAAATCAATGGCAGCTTGATGGGAATAGCATTAAATCTATAAACTACTTTTGGCAGTATGGCCATTTTCACGATATTTATTCTTACTATTCATGAGCATGGAATGTTTTTCCATTTGATTGTATCATCTCTTAATTCCCTGAGCAGTGGTTTGTAGTTCTCCTTGAAGAGGTCTCTTTCACATCCCTTTTAAGTTGTATTTCAGGGCATTTTATTCTCTTTGTAGCAATGGTGAATGGGAGTTCACTAATGATTTGCCTCTCTGCTTATCTATTATTGGCGTATAGGAATGCTTGTGATTTTTGCACATAGAATTTGTTTCCTGAGACTTCGCTAAAGTTGCTTATCAGCTTAAACAGTTTTGGAGCTGAGACAATGGGGTTTTCTAAATATATAATCATGTCATCTGTAAACAGAGACAATTTGACTTCCTCTCATCCTATTTCAATACCGTTTATTTCTTTCTCTTACCTGATTGCCCTGGCCAGAACTTCCAATACTATGTTGAATAGGAGTGGTGAAAGAGGGCATCTTTGTCTTGCTCTGGTTTTCAAAGGAAATTCTTCCAGATTTTGCCCATTCTATATGATATTGGCTATGAGTTTGTTATGCATAGCTCTTATTATTTTGAAATATTAAACTTTATATTTAAACAGCTTCCAAATTCACACCCATAAGCCCTAAATAGTGACTTTAATCAAAAGTACTCTGAATGAATAGCAAGGCATTGAACAGCTGGAAGTCTGTTGAGTGTGTGTGTATCATTCACAGATAAATCTGATTTTCAGTCTTTCATTTCATATGGAAAACAGAATTTAAAAACAAGATAATTTGGTATCCAAGCTGATAAACCGATTCATTGTAAAGCTTCATAGGTGAGCAGAGTTAGCAGTGGAAAATAATAATTACCATAAGTTTCGAAGCCAAAATTTCATAAATATGGTTGGAAAAAGATAACCAAAACTGAAATGGAGCCAAATTGTACTTAAGGAATACAGATTACAGGGTTATTACTAATAATTAAAATGTAGGTAAATAAATCATTTTATAAATTGACATTTGTGTATTTCACAGAACTATGCTACAGCATATGTTTACTCAAAATATATAAATCAATAGAGTAACAAGAAGTAACACTATTTTTTAAATAATGCTCTGTTTACAGAGAAATAAAAATTGATGAGAACTGCAATAAGATATGCCTAAGCAATACAAACTGTAGAATGTCATTACTGGCCAGAACGGCAAGCATGGGCCTAAAAGAAACCCCAGACAAGTCAGTGAGGCTGACCATATAAACACAGTCCAATTATAAACACAATAAAAGCACATGCCATTTGGTTCATGCTCCCTAGGGATGTGATAGGGTCATTCCCACTATGTCCACTTGCCAGGTATTCTCTGGTGACATGATCTGGAATAGGTAATGGGAAAAATACTGCTCTTTAACTCTTACAAAAAATGAACTCAAAACCTATATTCACGATTTCTTATTTGAAAACAAAGAAGCAAAGTTCAGGAGAACATAGGATTAAATGGACCTTTTATACCCACACTGTATGCACAATCATGCCTGTACACACACAGCACAAATATGTGCAAATTCCCTTGGCTCTCAGCCTCAAACCCTGCTTCACATGAGCTAACAACCAGGACTCATAATAAAAGATCTGGCCACCCCTGAAATGTTTCCAAGAATGTCAGTAGAGGGGACAGCAGTCCAGTAAGGTCAGTGATACGGAGCAGGTTCACCCACCCTTGGTTTTTCTCAACTCCTCCACAAGGCAGCGGGCTTCCTCTTGAACACGATCTTCAATGCTCCTCTTCCCCATGCCAAAATTCCGCAGTGTCATGAGGGAGAAACGCCGGATCTCCTTCCATCTCTTTCCATTGCTGAAAATGATTCCTAACAGGAAGACAAACAGAAACTAGGAGGGAGATCCCAGGCAAGAAAGAGGAAGCAGCCACGTGGATGGGCCAAGCTCTGCATGAAAAGCTCTGCTAGTCTGTTTTCCATCCTCCCCATCCCCATGACTTATGCTGAAATAGGCACATGCACACCTACCAAATCCTCTGTTAGCTCTGTCAGCCAGCGGAAAATGTCCTCTTCCGGAAAACTCCTCTCCAAGATCAATCAGGGCTTCCTTCACCGCTTCATATCCATGCAGCACCACCATGCGTTCCAGGCCAAAATACAGAGTGAACACAGGGCCATAGACTTTTGAGAGCTAGAAAAGGAGATACAGGTAACAGCAAATAAAGTCACTATTTCATCCATTTACTAAGCCTGACTTAGATTCATATTTTCATTGTATTTGTATGCTTTTATTCAGTCATACAGGCTCAAATATTTCTGAATTATATATATAAACATGATGATTATTATTATATTTGCCACTCAGATGGCCTATGATGTGCAAGGCAATGATCAGACAATTGCTACATAGATTACAATTAATCCTCACATCAACATATTCAGCAGGTCTATTTGCTCTACTTTAAACAAACTGAGCTAAGAGAATGACAAATTCATTTGCAGTGTCCCACAGCCAATATACAGAAGACCCAAATTTGAAACTCCACTTACTCAAACACTCATGCTTGAGAAATTTATCAGCAGCACTCTTGTGTCTACCTTAATACAAATATCCAGCTTCAATAACTAATAATTTCCTGGTCTAATAGCCTTTTATGATTAGCATGCATCATAGCATTTACAGTAAAATCACCTCTCTATGGACTCCACCTAGGACTCCCAAAAGCCCACGTAGAGGTCCCCATTGCTGGATCAATAGTCCCCACAGCAGTACTCCTAAAATTAGGTGGCTATGGGATTATACGAATCACCTTAATCCTTAACCCCCTAACAGAGTTTATAGCTTATTCCTCCCTCATACTATCCCTATGAGGAATAATCATAACAAGCTCCATTTGTCTGTGCCAAACTGATCTAAAATCACTCATTACTTACTCTTCCATAAGCCACATGGCACTTGTTATCATGGCGATTCTCATTCAAACCACCTGAAGTTTTACAGGCACGACTGCCCTAATAATTGCCCAAGGACTAACCTCATCTGTACTATTCTGCCTTGTGAACTCAAACTACAAAGTACACAGCCAAACCGTACTAATAACATGGGGCCTTCAAACACTTCTGCCCCTGATAGCCACAAGATGACTCCTAACTAGCCTTGCCAACCTTGCCCTGCCCCCTACCATCACTCTAGTAGTAGTTTTCATAACTATACCTCATTCTCTTGGTCTAATCATACCAGCATGCTTATAAGGTTTACTATACTATACTAATCGCAGCCCTTTACTTTCTGTATGTGCTAATTATTACACAATGAAGGGTATTCACATATCATATTAACACTGTTAAACCATCTTTCACTTGAGAAGAAAACCCTAATACTTATACATCTTCTACCCCTCTTCCTACTATTACTAAACTCTAAGGTCATGTTGGGGTTTATATATTGTAGCTATAGTTTCATTAAAACATTGATTTGTTGATCCAATAATGGAAGTCTATAACTTCCTATCTACTACTTATCTGCTTTTGCTGGTCCTGAACCCACAGCTATTTCCTTTACAACAGGCATAAATTATTTCTTCAGAAAAGTTCAATTTTCACAGCTATTCTGAATAAAACATATGGCTAATATAGTAGAGGACCTACATAATAAAATCTCTAATAACAAACACATTCCTTACCATTTACCTTCAGCCAAAAATTATAGCAAATGACTATGAAATAAAGAAGGAACACAACATTTCAAACTATTGACACTTTGTTATTTTGAATCTAACATGCAAAGACCTAAATCTTTCTCTACTCACAAAATACATGATTGCATTCCACTATTTCTAACCCTGACAGACTCAGTTATGCTGAGGTTTCACCTCTGCAGTGATGGAGAAAAGGCAACAAAAGCCTTTCAAAGTATTTTACTTTACAATGATCTCTTGTAACAATGTACCTCTAGGGATATATTTTATTCAAAAACTACAGGTGAATTTACTTACCTTTTGCAAGCCACTGAAGGAGCATACTTACATTGGTTAAGGATTTGCTGACGTCCTTAATATCTATCTGTAGGATATTTCCAATCACTGGGAGAGGAGTGGGGCCAGGAGGGAGTTTTCCTCTCCCAGATCTCTGTCTCCAGAGTGAAAGGAGAAGCAAACAGGAGAGACAGAGCACAAGGACCACAAGAGAATCCATTGAAGCCTTCTCTTCTTGTTAAGACAGCCGTGAGCTTGCGCTCCAAGCCTTTTATAACACTCCGTGCTAATTCAGTGTGTGCCTTTTTGACGTATAAAGTGACCAATCACCTAGGTCCACTATATGCTCCTTCTGAAAGGACTTTGACCCACTGATAGATATAAAAATAAAATGTCCTTTGGTCTTGTTCTCCTTCATTCCAGTGCCCACTTTGGAGCCTAGGTATTGGTAATTAAAAAAAAAAAAAAGTTAACCCAAGTGGTTCCAATGCACCATCATAATTGAGAGCACTGAAGTAAATAATCTGATGCAAAAACAATTACTCAAAATTCTGAATTCTTAGATTAATAACCAGTTGGGAATTTATGATTTTGAGGGAAATTGATGTATTCTATGCCTTGTATATTTTGAAAGTATGTCAATGCTATACAAAGATTAGGAGACTTTTTCCTTTAAAATGAAATCGTCTATTTAATATAGCCTACTAAAAATACAGCAGCCTAAACATGAAATAGCTAACATAACTCATATATCTTAAATAACCAAACATATATCAAGTAAATTAGCTTAGCAGATATAAACACCCTTACCATTAAACCCCCTGAAAAAACACATGAAGCCAGGAATTGTTATTTTTTATTTTTCAAATGGGAAAAGGGAGACCCTGGGAGAACAGGACACCTGTTAGTGCCACACAGCTCATAGCTGGCAGAACTGGGATTTGAGCTGAGGTCTTCTGATGCCCATCATGGTGCATTATCTCTTACATCTAGAGATGCCTTCAGAACAGAAGACCCAAATTCGAAAAAAAAAAAAAAATTGTTTGCTAAAACATAACAAACTTCCAAACATTAGTCATTATGAATATATACCACTTTGATTCTGTTCATAAAACAGGATTCACATTAAATAGAATCCCTTATTTATCTAAGCAAAACAGCCCCAGGGATGCTCATGAGAAAAAATAAGAGTTTTCCCTTCTCCATCACTGCGGAGGTGAAACACTCAGTGTAACTGAGGGAACCGCTGATCTCGGAGAATTTGGTGCTAAGGGCTTGAGAAACTAAGGCTTCTTGACCTCCCGGTCACCTCCAGACACGGTTGCTTTCTCTTGTTTTTGGTCTCTCATTTTCAAAAATAATGTAATAAAGCAAAGCAAGCATAGGAAATTATGGACAGAACAACAGCTGTGAATCTAATAGAGGGTGGGAGGTAGGGAAATCACTAAATGGACTCATAGCACAAAACCACCTCAATGTGTAGACCTTAATGGGAACTGACATTTTGAGTTGAGGGCCTAAATACAACTAGAAAGATACACTTTACTAGATCACTAATGACAATACTTATGCAAAGCCATTTTCTTTAAAGATATCATCATATTTGTTCTAAATTCCCTAATGAGGTTATTTCCAGTTCTCTTATTAAGAAAAATTAAGTTATGTTAAGACACAATTGCACAATGTTTACTGGTCATCTTTAACAGGGATTCTAAAAATTTACAGAGAATTCTCACACCTCATGTCCCTTGAGAATCTCTCAATTGCCTTTGGTTACAATAAAATTGACCCATTTCAGGAATGAGGAGGCTGAGCCTTGAAGATTCAGTACTGTAGCCAAGAACATGGTGTCTGCTGCTGCTAGAGCTGAGACTAGAACCCATAAGCCCTGCATCTTGAAGGTTTCATTTCAAGCAAAACATTCAGTTCAATTGAGTCCACAGATATTTACTGATTGTGTACTAAGGTTCAGTATTTTATGATTCAGTCTAGTAAATGATTCTCAAAATAAACATTAATTTCATTAATAATTACAGCCCAAATTGACTAGATTGGGGGTCAGAAGAGTTTGGTTTTATAACCTTTAGTACTTGGATAAGTCAAAGGCCTTGGAGAACCCTTTATACAGAGCAAAGAAAAGCAACAACTTGGTCCCTGACTCATGTAACTCTGAACTCTAACAGAAATATGCTACCTTATTTTGGGTAAAATAAACTTAGTTGCTCTCTTTAGAATAATCATTTCATTCCTTGAGAGCTAGGTGTCCCAGCTCTGCTCCTCCTCTCTTCTGTTGAGCTGAGGCTTCTCCTTAGACCTTTCAGTGTACAGAATGAAAGAATTATAGATAATTTGAAGACATAAGGAATCTCTGAGATCAACTATTCTAAACAGGATTTGCTTTGTTTTTTTTTTTAGAAATGAGCAATTATTGATTCAATAAGACAGTATCACAATGCCTCAGTATAAGACTTAGAATCCCAGTTTTTCAATTCCAGGTTCAGTGACATGTTGTATCCCATCTCACAGAATTCACATCTCAGTCCGAATGATCAGGGGAGTATCAACATTAAGCCCTCCACAGTTACTGAGTAATACAAACCTCAGCTTGACTAGAATGGTGGGTTAGAGTAGGCTTTAGAAAAATGTATTTCTTAACAGCAGTTTGGGGTTTCCAGCAACACTAAGTGGAAAGTATATAATTACCACATGCCTCTTTCCCTGCACCCATACACAGCCTCTCTCACAATTAAGAACTCTCATAGGTTACAATCAATGAACCAACATTGATACATCATCATCATCCAAAGCTCATAGGTTATATGGGGTTCATTCTTTGTGTTGTACATTCTATGGGATTTGACTAAACCATAATGACATGTATCCACTATTGTAGTATCATATAAAACAGCTTTACTGACCTTAAAACGCTCTGTGCTCTACCTCTTCACCCTCTCTTCCTTGTGAGCCCTAGCAACAAATAATCTTTGCTGTGTTGGCATAGTTTTGCCTTTTCCAGAATGTTATGTGTTTGGAATCATACAGTATGTAGCCTTTTAAGATTTAACTTACTAATATGTATAAAGTTTCTCCATGTCTTTTCAAGTCTTGATAGTTCATTTCTTTTTAACACTAAATAACATTCATTGTATAGGTTTACCACGTTGTTTATTCATTTATCTATTAAAGAACATCTTGGTGATTTCTAATTTTTGACAATGAAGAATAAAACTGCTATAAACATCCATGTGCAGATTTTTGTGTGGAAATATATTTTTAATTCATTTGGCAAATGCCAAGGAGCACAACTACTAGATAACATAGTAAACATATTTTAGTTTTATTAGACACTGCCCAACTGTCTCCTGAAGTGTCTGTACCATTTTGCATTTCCACCAGCAATGGCTAATAGTTCTCATTGCTGCACATCCTTGTCAGCATTTGGTTCTTTCAGTGTTTTGAATTTTAGCCATTGTATAAGTGTGTGATAGTATCTCATTGGGGTTTTAGTTTGCAGGTCCCTAATGACATTTAATGATGAGAACTTTTCATATCTTTATTTGCCACCTGTATGTCTTCTTGGGTGAGGTATCTGTTCAGATCAGTTGCCCATTTTTTTAAACAAGGTGTCTGATTTCTAATCATTGAGTTTTTAAAAATTTTATATAACTGTCCTTTATCAGATATATCTTTTGAAAATATTTGTCCCAATCTGTGTCTTTTCATCTGATCCCCTTGATAGTGGTTATCAGAGTTTCATAGTTTTGCATTTTATATTTAGAAGTTAACTTTCATTAAAGATGTAAGGTTTATTTCCAGATTCATTTTTCTGTATGTGACTCTCCAGTTACTCCATTAGTCTTTGTGGAAAAGACTATTTTTTCCCATTGAATTGCCTTTGCTTTTTTTTCAAAGATCACTTGACTATATTTCTGATTATCTATTTCAGGTTCTTTACTCATTTGCATTAATCTATTTGACTATTTTTTCACCAATGGCACACTCTATTGATTACTGTAGCTTCAAAATAAGTCTTGAAGTTGAATTGGGTAAGGTTAATCATTTGACTTTGTTCTCCTTAACATTGGCTGTTCTGGGTTTTTTGGCCTCTCCATATAAACTTTACAATCAGACTGTTGATATCTAAAGATAAAAAATAATAAAAATAGAGGCCTCCCCCCAATTCCAGAATGGCTGAATAGGAGCTCCGATCTACAGCTCCCAGGGTGATCGATGCAGAACATGGGTGATTTCTGCTTTCCAACTGAGGTACTTAGTTCATTTCATTGGGACTGGTTGGACAGTGGGTGCAGCCCATGTAGGGCAAGACAAAACAGGGCGGGGTATCACCTCACCTAGGAAGAACAAGGGGTTGGGAGATTTCCCTTTTCTAGCCAAGGGAAGCCATGAGAGACTGTACCGGGAAAATTGGGACAATGCTGCCCAAATACTGCACTTCTCCAATGGTCTTGGCAAAAGGCACATCAGGAGATTATATCCTGTGCCTCGTTCAGCGGGTCCCACGCCTATGGAGCCTTGCTCACGGCTAGCACAGCAGTCCGAGATGAAACTGCAAGGTGGAAGCCTGGCTGGGGGAAGGGCGTCCGCCATTGCTGAGGCTTGAGTAAGTAAACAAAGCAGCCAGGAAGCTCGAACTGGGTAGAGCCCACCACAGCTCAGCGAGGCCTGCCTGCCTCTGTAGACTCCACCTCTGGGGGCAGGGCATTGCTAAACAAATGGCAGCAGAATTTTCTGCAGACTTAAATGTCCCTGTCTGACAGTTTGAAGACAGCAGTGATTTTCCCAGCACAGTGTTTGAGCTCTGAAAACAGACAGACTGCCTCCTCAAGTGGGTCCCTGAATCCCATATAGCCTAACTGGCAGACATCTCCCAGTAGGAGCAGATTGACACCACATACAGCCAGGCGCCCCTCTGAGATGAAGCTTCCAGAGGAAGGATCAGGCAGCAATATTTGCTGTTCTGCAAAATTTGCTGTTCTGCAGCCTCCACTGGTGATAACCAGGCAAACGGGTTCTGGAGTGGACCTCCAGCAAACTCCAACAGACCTGCAGCTGAGGGACTTGACTGTTAGAAGGAAAACTAACAAACAGAAAGAAATAGCATCAATATCTACAAAAAGGACATACACATCAAAACCCCACCTGTAGTTCACCATTGACAAAGACCAAAGGTAGATAAAACCACAAAGATGGGAAGAAACCAGAGCAGAAAAGTTGAATT